GCTTGCAGATATTGATGCTCTACCAAGCCTGAAAGAACTTCTGGAGTCTGTTCCAAACACAGACAAAAGGATCTGGGATCTATTCAGTTGGATTCTATCATCTAAAGTCTTCACGATACAAAGTACTAAGAAACATGAGGTAAGTTTTGAATTCTTAAAGTTTAGATTAGAGTTTGGTTTTTCTTAAGACAAACTTGCACACTTTCAGAGAGCATTTCCTCCTGCCAGAATTAATTGGTTATTGTGAGAGCTTGACTTGGGTGCCACTGAGTTGGGTTTTGTCTCTGAGAAAGACAACTCTTGTCTTCTGCCTACTGCCCCAAAAATGGAAAGATTCAGCACCACTGAGGTACTTCTGTAACAGGGATCAAAATAGTTGTAGAGATTAGCAGCAAGATGAAAACAACTTCTCTTTTCACTTTTTTTTTCCTCTTCCAAAATCAGCTGATGAATGCATCTTCTTACCAGCCAAAGTAGAATTGTGACATTGTCCTTACATCATCAAATAATTCATAATCACAGTTCCGGGTTTTGTGGGTTTTTTTTTGGGGGGGAGGGGGTGTTTAACTTTGATAGCAAGAAACTGTCAGAATTTTTAGTATCCCCTTACTCCTGAATTGTGACAGTGTTGAATTCTAACTCAGAAAAGCATAATCAGAACACATCAAGCAATGTGAAGGGGCAGGAAGCAGAATTTCCACTGAGTAATCTGACCCCATAAACCAACACTGATATTTCTTCCTGGTTTTAAGTACGAGAAGATCCAGGAGCTCACAGGGATGTCTGGGGCTGCAGTTCCTGCTCCAGACTATCTCTTTGAAGTTGTGTATTGCGATCAAATGAATACCAAGTTTGCTGAGACCAAGGGAGAGCGGGACCTCATCTATGCCTTCCACGGGAGCCGCCTGGAGAACTTCCATTCCATCCTGCACAACGGCCTGCACTGCCATCTGAACAGGGTGAGGCTCCTGCTATTGGCACTGCCTTCTCTTGGTCACTTGCAGATAAGGACACCTTTTAAAAATAGTCCCGGAGTCCTTTTGGGGGTGTGAACTGCGCTGATGATCTTGTGCTGCTGTTTTCACTCCAGTGTAGGCCTTAGTGGATGGTTGTGTTGGATTTTCTAGTGCAGCCTGAGGGTGAAAAGCAGAAGTGGCATGAAACCCTTTTCTCCAGCGTGACAAATTATGACTGTCCTTTGCTTCTGTGTAAGGAAGTGTAATTCCTCTGAAAATACTGGCCTGTCTGACAGCCTGCAGCTGGACAGTGCCTGTCCACAAAGGAGGAGGAGGAGGAGAGTGGCCCTGGCAATGTAGAGATTCTCTCTTTCTGTGTGGCTTCGTGTTTAGATCAGCAAAGTTTTGGGTGCTACTCACAAGTGGAGCCTTCTTTAAATGGCTTGGTTTAGGGAGACATCCCATAGGATTTGCACCTCTTCTGATTTCAGTGGAAAGGCAGCTGGAACTCCTGGCTTTTTGTGTCAGCTGTAAGGCAGCTTTGACATAGCACCTGCTTGACCTTCCCAGTCAACCTAGACTATGCTTTTCCCCCACATTCTAGATGAGCAATGGCTTACCAGGTACAATGGATTTACTGGATGAACAATTTTAGCCAGTATGGCAAATCCTCTGATTCCAAGTTATTAAAACACTTTTATTTGAAAGGCATTCATAATTGAAAAGTGCTTCCCTCTTTTCTAGTAAAGCATGGGTTTAATCCAAGTAAAGCCTTGCCTTGTTTGGGGAGGCTGGATTATTTGAACGATGACAATCTCAATAAATCAATGAAATGCCTTTTAGCAGCAGGGCAGTCATGTTGATGTAAAGTACTTATGCTGGCAAACGAAATCCAAATCCGGGAAAGCATGAATCTGTCCACACCAGGGGCTCTGCCAGACAGATAATTTGAGGGATAGGAGAGGGCAGCAGCCCCACCCCGAGGAAGCTGTGCCAGGACAAAAACAGTGCATGGACCAGGCCCAACGCGGGTCAGAAAAGCCTTTCATAATTTACCATCAGAAGCAGAACTGTCAGTCTGAAAGCAAAGAACACTTGTACGTTGTTTGAGGTTTGCACTGGAGGATTTTAGGACAGATTAGTGCTCTGTTTCAGACGTCCCTGTTTGGTGAAGGCACCTATCTGACCAGTGACCTGAGCCTGGCTCTGCTCTACAGCCCTCACGGTCTCGGCTGGCAGCGAAGCTCTCTGGGCTCTGTCCTCAGCTGTGTGGCTGTTTGTGAGATCATTGACCACCCAGATGTGAAGTGCCAGGTGAAAAAGAAAGGTGAGTCTACTGCAGTGATAACTCTGTGTAGTAGCTACATCTGTGCTTCACGTCGTTTCTCGTTCCCTGTTAATATTAGCAGCTCCTTGAGCACTGGGTGGGAGTCCCACCTCCATGTCACCCTGCTCTGGGCCATAATGTCATCCATACCAAGGATGACTAGGAGTGGTATAGCCTCAGGCAAACTTCTCAGTCTATTCTTGGATGCTGAGGGATTCAGGGGAATACCAAGACTAGATCTTTGGTTATCTCATTCCCATTCTTCTGGCGGGTGTGTACGTGTGTGTTGGTTGGTTGCCTTTTTTACAGTTGCATGAAGTTCTGTGTCTTTTTTTTTGCTTTCCTGTTCCCCCCAAACCCTCTTCTTTTCTCTTTCCAATTCAGATTCAGAAGAAATAGACAGGAAGAGAGCAAGAGTGAAGAACAGTGAAGGGGGGGATGTGCCACAGAAATACTTTGTTGTCACAAACAACCAGCTTTTACGAGTTAAATACTTGCTGGTGTATTCACAGAAGCAGCATAGGAGGTAAGAGTTCAGCTGTCTAGAGTGATGAGTGTGCTATAACAGCCAGATAAACACTTCTCATGGTTGAAAAACAACACAAAACAAACAAAGAAGATACACTGCACTGCCAGAATTTGTTTTCAGCCTGTTTCCTATGGAAATGAGGCTTACAGCATCATGTTGCCTCTGTCTCACTCTTTGACATTCTCAGCCTCAGCTAAATTTCCTTTTTCACCAGACCTGTAAGCACTTGGTATCTTTGAGAGCTCTAATAGTCTGTTTGTGGCAGGAGACCAAGAATGAAAGTCTGGTGAGTGTGGCTCTTAAAACTGGGGCAGTTTTAATTCTGCTCTTATCTATCCTGAGTGGCAGCATTCACTCAGCTAATCAACACAGGCCTGAAGGCCAGGCAGCTACAGCTCCAAACCACAGGGAAAGGTGTGAACATGGGGAGAAAAGACAGGACTGTGCAGGGAGGGAGACTTAGGGAAAAGGGATGTGGTGAAAATCAGGCTTTGTCAGCTACAGGGATTGTGGAACAGCTTCCTGTTTTTATTGCATTCTCTTAACCACTTAAGATAATGAAATCTAATGACTCTTTGCCAAGGTATCCGTGCATCTCTGACAGAATCCGTGCACTTTTCCCTTTTCAGGCCTTCTAGTCAATCTTCCTGGTTCTACACCCACCGTTTTGCCATAATGATGATGCTGTACCTGCTGTTGTTGATAGTGATTGGGGCCAGCAACTCGCCAACCTTCATCTACTACTGGCACAGAATGTTTGACTCGGAGAGATGAATCACCCAAGATAATGAACTGTTGTTTTCACCACGTGCCTTAAGAATAGCTGATCTGCAATGCACTGCATCTGTTCCAGAGCTCTGGAAATAGAGGTGCCTGGAGCCTTCCAGTTCTGTCACCAATGTATTAATCCTCATGGCATCTCTTCATTTTATTCTTATTTCTGTGTTCCTGTGTTTCATGAGGATGCCTGGTACAGCTGAAAAGGATTATAGTGGTGCAGCTTAGCATGAACCAATGGTTAAGGGTCCATGGGGAAAAAAGGGTATTTAATATTAATAAAAACAGAGTGGAAACACTCAGGTGTAACTTATTTTCTGTCAAGCTGAGGTATGTTTGCATAAGTGGGAAAGGAGAAATTTTGAGTATGTCAGGCAAAGCAACCTGTTAGGATTCTTATCAGTATGTTTTCAGAAACTGAATTTAGTGTTTAGTATGTATCCATGCAGATGGGATCACTTTTAAAACTAACTTTGGCCAGGAACTTTTATATTTGAGCATAACGATTGTATGAAAACAAAACCAACAAACCAACAAGAAATAAAACAACTGCCAAAATGGAAGAAGTTAAGTGATTTCTAGTATGTTTTTTTTTCCACCCCTCTGTAGAACAGTTGTGTTTTAATCCCAGCTGGCAGCTAAGCAGAAATCCAAAACACAGTCCCTACGCTAGCTGCTAGGAGGAAAATTCTCTCTACCCTGGACAAAGCCAGCACAAACATCTACAAGGCTTGTGCTCTCAGCCACGCTGTGTCTTGTCCTTGGTTAGTGTGCAAATCAGACAAAATCAGGCTGTTCATCATCAATGCTGAATAAGGATTATTCTTATCAAACAGGGGATTTGTTAGAGAACACCCACACAGGTTTGCACAAGTTACTTGTACAACAGACACGGAGCGGCACCTTCCACCTCCTCACCGAGTCATTTGTGTTTGCTGTTGTTACACAGCAAACTACCACTACCTGAAACAGAGAAAGGAGCAAAGAACTGTCCTCTGATTATTGCCTGGGCCTGGGATAACCCCATGAAGAAGCAGGGAAACTGCAGGCAAAGAAAAGCCAGGTATGTGCTGCAGTTCAGCCTCTCAGCCCAGCCTTTAGCAGACTTGATAAACACGGGTTTTCATTGCACAGTGAACCCTAACCACAAAAAAAGGAAAAAAAACTCATCACATTTCCAGCAAATGAGTCTGTGATTGCTCCCTTACTCATTAAATATTTCAAAGAAAATCTCTTCTTCTTCTGATGTTGTTCTGGTACCTAATTGCCAGAAATAATGTCCTGGTAATCACGTTTTCTTAAGGCTGAGAACAAGTTGATTTCCAGCAACCCCTCTTCTTGGTGGCTGGAGCTAGACACATTTATCCCAGTTAATTTTGCTGCCAGAACAAATTTATTTATTCACCATACAACTTGCAAAACAAGAACATTATAATCCAATTCCCCATTGCCTTTTACAGCCCGTTAATAATGCTCAGTGTCAAAGCACGTTGTGGCGCCTCAGCCCAAGAAGTGTCCATGCTAATTATAGCAGTGATTTGCAATTAAAATATACATAAACTCAATAATTTATTGTGCAACAGATTCAACTACTTTATAGTAGTTTACTCCTTGGTATTTCAATGCAGAAACTTGGGGTTTGAGACACATGGGTCCCGGGAATAGGTGCCCATTTTTGGTCCACCTCAGCATGTTATATTAAATGTTGTGCCATATAAATATGCAAGTTTAGGGGAGGTAAAGTGCCAGCCAGAAAACCTAGAGGTGTTTGATGCTGTCTAAAGGGTACTGGGTAGCTAAAAGCCTTATATGTCTGAAAAAAAACCCACCATCTTTTGGAACAGATGGGTTATTTGGGGCCCTTTGGAAAAGGAGGAGGTTCAGCAGCAGCTGTGGGATGGCTTCTGGCACTGCAGGAAAAGGCACAAACCTAGGGAGCTCCTGAGCCAGATGAAAGGAACACAGCAGGGATCTGAAGCTCTTTTCTTAGGGTTTCTTTGCATAGGAAAGTTTCTGAGAGTAAGCAAAAGGAGTAATAATAGCTCCAGGCTATGTCCCCGGAGAGAGGAAGCATTGTGGGGGCTCATGGCAGACACGCACAGTCCAGCTCTGCGATGAGATCAGCAGGTTTTAAAGGAAAAAAACCCTGGTTTTTCTGCTTTTATCAGTTTGAATAGACTCAAAAAAAAGGGAAAAAAGTGGCTGCAGGTAGGGGCTGAGTCCCGATGAAGTGTCTGGAGCGTCCCTTGGAGGGCTCACAGCCCCGTCCCTCGCGCTCCCAGGCCTGCGGGGATGGCGGGCGCAGCCTCCTCCGTGCTCCAGCTCCTCAGCTGCGGAGCGAGGCCACGGTAAAATATTTTAAACGCATTTAAGGTGCTCGCATTCTACCTAGTGGGCTGGCAAAGTACTTAACATCCTACTCCCACGCTTGTTTTCTGTGCTCCCTGCTGATTTCAGCATGTGTTTCCCAACGTGGCGAGGCGCAGTCAGCTGGATTAATGCGGGCATTGTGCTGAGTAACTAACAGTATTATGAATTAACCCAAGGTTTGTGTTAGCCTCTTAAGCCACTTGCGTGGCTCTTTGAACATGCACAGTGCTATGAAAACACTGAACAGGGAACGAATCAGAATTCCCTCCCGAACAAAGGGCCGCTGTGTCTGAAATGGGCAGCCCAGGGTGAGGAGTTGTAAAATATAGAGCTACCTGTACTTATTAATGTGTTTGTTACATCACTGTGGTGAATATTAAGGAACTGTTACTGAATCAGACAAACCTGATCCTGCTGGGACTGCAAGGAGGAGTGTGGCAGCTGGTGCTTTCTGGTGTTGACGGGCAGGTTTTGTGGGAGAACTTTCATCCCACAAGGGCAAATGTATAATATACACATAAATGTAAGGGGTTTTTTCACTGCATATATGTATGGAGATCTCAGGAGCCAGCTGAAGAGAAGGGCTGTTGGAGAGCAGGGGTTTGAGCTAACATGAGGAGAGAGGGAACCTCTGAAGAAAGCAGGACCATCCCTGGGGTGGGGAGAAGCGAGGCTCTGGGATTCGTGCTCCTGGTAAGTGATGCAAAAATCTTGTGCTCTCTGCAGTATGAGCAAATTTAAGAAAAGCAGAACCAGAAACAGAGGAATATTCAAACCAGGCCGTGCTTTGGTCCACCTGTGACAGGACCCAAACCCAGGTCAATCCCAGCCCCCCCAGGGAGGTGCTGCCCACCTGCTCAACTGTCCCTTCCCACATGTGGTGGGCACATGGCTTGGCAGCACGTTCTTCCAGTGACATTTTCCTTCCCTCATGAAAGCTGTCACTTTGGGCACCTTGCCCAACACTCCAGGCTTCCCAAAGTGTCTGTTTGAGCACCAGCAACAAGAGGGAAGGTTTCAGAGAGGTGGGCAAAAGGAACAGCGCTGGAGTGCCCGCAAGCATCCCAAGGGATGTGCCATGCTTCCCCTAAGGGCCAAGCTAGGTGTGCTTGGCAGCATCCCAGTATTCCTGCCCTTCATAGAGGTCTTTTCCAACCTAAATGATTCTGAGAATATCGAGTCCACCTCAAGGCAAACCTGCTCCAGCCCTCTCACTGTACCCATGGAGTGTAAAGGTGGTGGGTCCCTCACAGAAAGGAAAAAATGCTTCTTGCTCCTCACAGATCTCCAAGCTCCCCTGCTGCTGGGCAAGAGAGGACATGCAGTCTTAAGTGCATGAGCAATGCCAGACCTGCTCTCTCTCACTCAGCAAGAAGTAGGTGAAGAAAGTTTTCAGCAGGTTACAGGCACTTTCCTGCTCATTGAAGGCTTGCCAGAAACATCCACACACCTTGAAGTTCTGTCTCCCATCAGCCATCATAAGCAACATAAACAGAGAGGCCAATAGAGTGCTGATGAATAAATTAGCTTCTTTTGCTGCCAGCAATCTCTACCACCTTTCAAGAGGCCCTTTTTTTGCCAGCCTGGCATCAACCAGCCCCTGCATTGTGTAATTAACCTTGAGCAGGACGAGCCCAGCAAAGCCATACTGCGATTACTCATCTTGTTGGAGTTTGGACGCTTCCTAAATGGCTCACACTAATCCCCACCAGTTGGTCTGGGCTCCTGCAGTTCTAATTGATTTTGTTTTTCCTCCTTGGGCAGCATGTTTAGCATAAATGGTAGTTAGTGTGGGGAAAGGTAAGTGCCCAACACTGGACAACAGCTCACCCTGAGCACTCTGGCTTCCCATATCCTCATGGCCCAGCCTCAGCCAGCCTGCAAGGACTGCTTGCCACCCCTCCAGCTTTAGTAATTTGTTAGCTGGGGCACTGGGAGACCAGTGCAGATCCTTTCTGACTGATGGGGAGCCATCCCCTCTTGCAGACAAGATTGAGAAAAAGCCCTCTCAATGCCCAAGGGAAATTTGCTTCCTTGGGCAGAGACATCTTCCAGCTCCCGACACATGCAACCACAGCGAGCCAAGAGTTGTTTTTAAAACAAAGCTCTTTCATCCTGATAAAGTCCAGATGCTTGTTCAAAGCCGAGGTGGCCACAAAAATAGCCAAGGAAATGCTTCCTGCCAAGTCCAGAGCTCCTGACTGCCCAAAGTTTCACAAAACTGAAAAAACCCCAACAGCCCACCTGGCTCAAAACTAAATTTCTCTTAAAAAGGAAAAAACATATTTAATAACAATCATCAGAGAATGAAAAACAAGAAATAATCCACTGTTTCTAAGTACCTGGAAAGAACAACAAAATTGAATAAAACCATCTCTTCGACCCATACCCAGAGAAGAGAAGAGACCTCAACATTCTCAAGCAAACCTTTGGCACAGTGGTAGAAAGCAAACTCATCTTACTCACCACAGCTCAGCTGCCCCTCCAGAAGCCTCCCTTGCCCTCACAGTGCAGCCAAAGAGTGTCAGCCTCCCCCCTGGGCACTAATAAGTGCTGATAGCCCCTCCACCCACCAGCTGTTTCCCATCACCTTCCCTGCTGGGACACCTCTGGAATCACCTGTGGGGTGTCTGCACCTGCCGTGCTGGGGCAGAGCCAAGGGGCTGGCACTGGGCAAAGCAGATGTGTCCAGCAAGTGGTTTGCAACCTGCAACCCCCAAACACCCTCCCTCCTGGTCAGCCCTGTGTCCCAAACTGCTGTGTAAGGATGTGTCCATGCCATCCCCTGCACACTGGAACATGGAGCAGGGACTGTCTTCCCTTCTGGCTGTCTCCAAAAGGGAGAAAAACCCTACCCCATACCTATCCCACTGTGGTTCTTTGTACCCCTCTTGTCCAAGCCATTCCATCCCCACAGAATTAACACCCTTGCATTAGTCAACCCTCAGATATTTAGATCTTTCCCAGGCTTGTCACACAGCCATGGGAGAGCCCAGAGATCCAAAATTTCCAGGGAGCTTTTCCTACAGTGGGTGGAGAAAACAGAGTAAAGCCTGTGATCACACCTCTGCAGCCTCAGGGTGACACCATCCATGCATCTCCACACCGAGGTGTAGGTGCAAGGGGCACTTGAAGACTGGACACCCCATGGAGGTGGTCCTGGACCACAGAGTCTCCTCCCAGGGGTGGATGCTGGAAGTGTGTAGAAGCTTGATCCCAGAATCAGGGATAGAGCATGTGCAGAGTACGAAAAGGATGTTTTTCTAGTTGTCACAGGGCTGCCAGAATACGGCAGAATGACCAGAAATACCCCCAAATATTTTTCACCCTGAGTACAGGCAGGAGATGCGTTCCCCGTTCCTGGCCAGAGACCCTCACCCACCAAAGCTGGGTGGCAAACCTCCTCAGAACAGTCTGCAGAATGATCCTATGGGACAAAGCAGCCCCAAAGCTGTGCCTCCCATCTCCTTGTGGGTACGTCTCCCCTCAGACTGCGCTGACAGTTGTCCCATTGGAGCCCCCTGATGCCACTCCACCATTTACAACACCATCCTTGATGTTCTTCTCCGGGGCTGAGATGGGTTTGTGTCTCTTGTGCCTGGTGATGGCTGTTTCGATGCCCCTGAGGCACAACTGCACATCCTCCCGAAAGGAGGGGGTGTAGAGTCCATAAATGACAGGGTCTGTGCAGGTGTGCAGCAAGCCAAAGAGGAAGAAGCTGTGGTTGACGTACTCCGGCATCTTCTGGATCATGGCTGGCTGGAACCAGTACCACAAGCCCAGGAGGTAGTACGGGGTCCAGCAGATGATGAAGGTGGCTACAATCACTACGGTCATCTTGAGAGTCTTCATGCGTGCCTTGGAGATGTGGTCATTTTGACTTCTTGTCAGACCTGCCAGGGAGAGTCAAAGGGAGAGTTCGAGATGGGGGGAAACCAGGAGAATATAACCATCTTTGATTGTGCTTCTATCTTTGATTGTGCTTCTATCAGAGAGGGGAGACCATCTCGTGGTCCAGTCCATGGCCCATAGGAAGCAGAAGACAGCAAGGAATGGGGTCAATTAGTTTGTGTAAAACCCCTTAATTGGTTTATCCTTCAAAGGGTTGGGACAGACCCAACAATAGCTCCAGGCTGGAGCAGGTTCAGTCATGGAGTCATGGTGGACACTGAAGGGCTGGGACCTGCTTACCTTTATTGATCTTTAGCTGCCTACTGATCTCCCAGAGGATCCGGATGTAGCAAACAACCATGACGCTCAGGGGGGTGATGTAGAGGGTGGTGAAGGTGAACATGTTGTAGACAGTTTCCTCCCAGTGTGCTCGGAAGCTCCCGTGCGTGACACACTGGGTGAAGTTCCCTCCTGGAATCGTGTGCAGGTGGAACAGGAAAAGCTGAAATGGAGAACCAAAGAATAACTCAGAGAGGATTTGGAACAGGGCCCTATGTCCTGTGCATGGAGAGCAACTCCCTGCCACTGTCGGACTGGGAGAGGGGCTCTGGTCAGATAACTCATGGTTTGGTCAGGGTGGATGGGATCTGACAGCCAAGAAATCCCATTTTCTCACCATGAGGAATGTTATTTTGGTCAGGAACTGCTCAGGTTCATCTTGGTCTGCTCCAACATGTTTTGCAGCAGTGCATTTTTAGGAGAAGATTACCATGTGCACAAGGAATTAAAACAGTGGACACTGGTTTTTCCCAGCCCTGATGGTGGCACTGAACAGGTGCTGTGAGGAAGGTGCAAAGCAGCCGTGACCACCCAGCGCACAACCACGCTGCTTCCCTCAGCAGAGCCAATCCCGTGGTGGTGGAGCCCGTGGATTGGGATGGACTGCTTGGGAATCTCTTCTCCAAAACCACCCCAGCCTGGGCAAACTCCACAGGGCAGGCCCCGAGCCCTACCTGGGGCAAAGCCAGGAGCACGCTGCCGGCCCAGGCGGCGCGGAGCAGCATCCCATTGCGGCGGTGGGCGCGGGAGAAGGGACGGAGCACGGCCGCGTGCCGGTCCAGGCTGATGACCACCAGCACCAGGGCGGCCGCGTACATGGCGAACAGCTTGAGGAAGTTGAGGACCTTGCAGGAGATGTCCCCTCCGTACCACTGCACCGTCACGTTCCACGCCGCGTCCAGGGGCATCACCGTCACCGTCACCAGCAGGTCGGCCAGGGCCAGGCTGAGGATCAGCGGCTGCACGTGGGATTTCCTCCTCTTCCTCAGCAGGCTGCCCAGCACCGCAGCGTTGCTGCCCGCCGCCAGCAGGAAGAAGATGGCTGTGATGATCACACGGACCTTCGCTGCTGGCGTGAACTGCGGCTCCACCCAGTACAGGGGGTAGGCAGAGGCTGAGACATTGGTGTCCTCCTGTGTGGTGGGGCAGTGGGCAGACGCAGGGAGCTGCTCCTCGCTCATCCCCTGCTGAAATGCGAGTGGCAAAGTGAAGCCCTTCTGAGGGGCTGTGTAGTGTGCTGCAGCTTCAGTGCGAGGAGGAATGGGGACAGGGTGGGATCTGCACTGGAGGCACCAGCAGCAATCTGCCAGTCCTGTCCTGTCCCATCTTGTCCCATCCCATCACTGCCTGTCCCCTCTGTGCTGCCCTCTTTGCCGAGGCACCACGTCCCCCAGGCCCGGCCGCCCTCCCTGGCTAACCCCTGTAGCTGTAGCTATAGTGACTGCTCACACAGACATATATTTTTAGCTCCTTGTGAGGAGGTTGAGCAGCTGGGAAGCAGGAGTGGTGGCCAGGACCATGGGACCAGTCACTGTCTGCCAGCATCCTGCTGGGAACAGGTCATACCAGAGCTGGCTGAGCCTGTGCCGGGGCAGCCGTGCTCGGTTCAAGGACTCATCCTTCCTAAGGGGGTTTGCAGGCAGGGATCAGCTTTTCAGAAACCCCACGGCCCTTTCCATTAATGTGTTAAACCTTGATGATCCATCTCCAGTGCTGGATTGGAGCTGTGGGTGGGAGCACTCAGGGGTGGCCAGGAGGGGAAAATGGGGATTCCACACTGTCCAGGGACTGACAGTGGCTCTCTCGGGAGAGGATCACAGTGGAATTTAGAAGCCTGGACTTTCACAGGACCCTGGCAGCACCAGCTCAACACCTCTGTACCTTTCCCTTTGGGAGGCAAAGCAGGAGGAGGAGGGGAAGACAGAAACCCCCCTACAATGGGGGTAATGAGCAGCGTGCTGATCCCCCATCTTTGATTTAATTGCCCTTTTATCTTGAGCAGACCTCCCATTTCAAGGGCTAATTCTTCCAACTCTTGGGGACGTGAGGTCTTAACAGTCCCAGCTGCAGGTACAGTACATCTATTACTGTTTCAAGCACCTTCATGTTTGCTGATCCCAAAATAAAGCATTCCCCACCTTTGCATAAATAACAGGAGCAGCAGAGATCAAATCTGTCTCCCCAGCTCTGCGGGATGGAGATGCCAACACCTTGCAGCAAACCACTCTCCTCCAGCCCCACCACCCGCAGCCCGAGCCCCCCTCCTCTCACCGCCTTCACCCCCTCCCTCCCCAAAGACCATCCCAAAAAACCAACCAAACAAACAGCAAAAATAAAAAGCAGTTCAAAAGTACCAAGTTGCTCACTGGCTGTCAGGAAGAAATAAGGAGAAACCCGTGTCCAGGTCAGGATTTCTCCCGGCTGGTGGGAACATACCTGGCATACGCATGCCCTGACGCCGAGAGAAGACGCTCCGTGTCTTTCCCACGGGTCTCCCAGCGCTGCGGTGCTGAGTCAGGATGCTCCAGTGTTTCTTTGCATCACCTCCCTGCAACAAACCTTGAAGCAGTAAAACCTCCCCTCGCCAGCGGCCAAGCCGGGAGCGACGCCGCTGTTCGCACAGGCGTCTGCAGGCATCTGGAGATGGGAATGCTGCTGCAAGCGTTCCCTGCACCAGCAAACCGGGAGTGGGGCACGCTGAGGTGGGCACCCACGGGCAGCCCGGCTCAGGCAGCCACCACCACCCCTGCCCTCATCAGCTTAACGAGCTGCCCTCTTAATGAGCAGGCAGCGGGGATGATGGCAAAGCCACCGTAATGCAAGAGATGGCCAAAATTCAAAATGTTGTGGCCAAATGTGGCCCCGTGAGGGATAAGTGCCAACACTCCCGGCACTGGTTTGCTATAAATACAGGAAAATGAGTTAATTATCCCCGGAGTTGGTGATGAACGTCCCGTTGCTCAGACAACGGGGACACACACACACACACACACACACGCACACTCCCCTCAGGGATGCTCCTGGACCACACAGGTCCGTGGGAGCATCACAGGTACGTGCCTGGACTGGGAATGCTGCAAGGAGGGGATTAATAAGAAGAAACTTGGGGCATTTTGCCACTGTAATGAATACACATTTTTTTTCCTGCACTCTATCAGTTCCCATCTTGTTCTTTCTGTGTTTCCTGCAGCATAAGGCAGTGAGAGAGAAGGACCTTGGGAGGGACAAAGAGCTCACAAGAGCTTAAAAAATATGATGTGCAGTGCAAGGGCAGGAAAGGAAACTGAGGACACCCTGCTCCTCTGGCCAGCAAAAGAGCCGTGGGGGTGACAGAGTGCCAACCCTAAGCCCTGCTGGGGCCAGCACCAGCAAACACACTCCCAGTGGCACCACGTGGATTTTAATGACATGCAAATAGACCTTCACATCTCCCAGGCTATGAAATTAAGGAGTGCAGGGTGTACAGATCCCTGCAGGTCCCAGGCTGGTAGGGGTGGCTCTGCACTGTTCCCCAGGAGGAGGAGATTCACTTTCTGGGATAGGTTTTCCATCATTAAACACATTCCCACTTATTTTCAGGAGGAAATGCCCGAGCTATGAGTGGGGTTGCGCCATATCTGAAATTGCTCTGCTGGCAGGAGTGCTCCTGGGCACAAGCAGAAGAAGACTTTTTCCCCTTAGTGGGTTTAAGAGTCAAACTGTGTGTCAGAGGGAGCAGCTCCCGAGAGCAAGAGATGCTTCAGGCACTGGACCACGTTCACCCCAGAGTCCCCTAAAACCTCCATGACTTCTGCATGGAACTGCCAAAAGGGATCAGGCTGGAAACTCTCTGCTTGAAGCCACAGAGAGAAATCCCTGCATTCAAAGTGCTTTACATCTGAGGGGAAAGAAAAAAGCAGACCCACCCCCGGCACTGTCCGTGAGCACCAAGCACTCCTGCAACATGGGAGGGGACTGTCCCCACCAGCTCCTTACCTGGCAGGAGCATCGCCCCCCAGTGCCACAGGAACCAGCCTGATCCCGGGGGGAAAATAGCACAAAACCCACAAAGAAGCTGGGTGGCAGCCTGTTTGTTAGAGCAGCCACCCCCTCCTGGTGTTGGGCTCCTGCTTAAAGCCGAGGTTCGGCCCCACACACTCATCCTTATGTTTCCTTTCATTTGGCCTTTGCACCTGCACGAAAGCAATTAAATAGCGAGTCAGGAATGTATTCCCTGTTTGTCCTTCGTTCTGGCTGGTGGCCTTTTTGTCTAGAAATGTCCTCCTCATCCCCGACTGTATGATGCAAGAGAGGGACGGGATTTTTCTTGGGAACTGTAAGCCTTGCTCATGACACAACAAAGCCTTTAGTCCCTGTTCAGAGAGGATTTTTTTAGCATACCATCACACAGAAATGTCCTGGGCATGCATTAGCAATAAGTCTTATTTTAAGGGTGGGGTCCCTAATTGAAATGACTATTTTTCTCCGGCGTTTGCACAGTAACCCCCTTGTGTTTTCTCTCTCTCTCTCTCTTTTTTTTTTTTTTTGCTCATCTCCTCAAAGGTCAGCTTGGATGTTGTCTGCTCAGCAGCCTTCAGCCCAATCTCTGAACGCTGGTTTAACGATCAGAGCCGTTTGGTCTCCAGGATTAGGAAACAGTGCTGGCAGGAAGGGCTTGTTTCCATACATCCCAGCTTGGCTCTTCCCAAAACCCTCTCCTTTTGGGGTGGTGCCCCAATACATCCCCAGCACTGGGTCATGAGGGGACAGAGCATCCCCCAGCGACCCCAAACAGGACTTATCTCCCCAGATCCCCACAGATCATCCCAGGATGCTGGAGAAAACAGAAACCAGAAAGCCACACTGGGTAGCACAGCCCCAGTGGCAATTTCTGCACGAGCAGACCTTAAACAAAAATGCAAGTGCTGTGTTTTTCCATTGGACATCCCATATAAACCGGGATCTTATCCAGGGAAAGCAGCATGGGATACAGTTTCCATTAACCTAGTGCAAACACGGGGCAGGGAACCTGCTGCTGTTTATCCTGATAAATCACTGCCGGGGTCTTGGCTTCCCAAAGAGAGAAAAACTTGTATTTTCCCCTCTGAGAGAAACTCCAGCTGCTGGGAATTATGGGGGAGTAACAATGGGTGATTCTTTGGCCAGACCCATCAGCTGCACCCTCACCCCCAGCACCCTCATCCCGGGCAGGTGCTTCTGCTAGGCTGCCTGCCCAAAAACTCCCCTTTGCTCAGAAAAATCTCACTATTTCAGTGGGTTTTTAATGCTGATCTTTTTTTCCCCCTCTCCAATTCTTCTCCTCCTCCTCCAAACCTTGAATTGTCTCGTCCAAGGAAATTTTTGTCTCATACTGGACTCGAAACAGAAAGTCTAGTCAGGGACATCTGACATGCAATGTTTTTGTGAGTAAATACCAGCGTCCATGAAGTCATTTCCCGGGGTTAGAAATGAGCTCACCTCTGGAACGGCTTCTCTTCTTACCCAAAGTTCACAAGTCAAGCATTGGGAAGCTCCCAGTTTTCTGCCTTCTCATTAAATAACAGCATCATAAAAAGCAGCACGGTGCCACCTCTGGCTGTATGCTACAAACAGGTCCCGAGCGGGGCATCACCCAAAATTCCCTAAAATCTCTGCAGCAAAAGGCAGAGGCTCGGTGGTCACCGGGGATCAACCAGCACCCCATCCTGCCTGCTCAGCCAGCCCTGGCCGCTCTGCCGAGCCTGCCAGGGCGGATGGTAATTGCTGCCCCTCCTGGGGATAAGCTGGCTCATCCCGTCCTCCTCCTAAAAAACCTTTGTTTAAAGCAGAGGGAGGGATCTCTCCTGCCCTCCAGGCTCAATTACTTGGTAAACTGTCTCTTTGGTGAAACAATGCGCTGTTTCTGATTCAGCTTCCTACATCGAAGTCTCGCTGATAAAAGACCTTCTCCGAACAGGTATCCCACCGTCAGACAGCGGTGCTGAGGAAAACATGCTCAAACCTGCTGCAATTCCCACCTTTTAAGACCCTGGCTGGTGCTTCTGGTGCTGCTGAGCCCAGATTTCCAGAGCATCAGTCCCAGGGGTTCCCTAAATTCACATCTTTCCATGAGGAGCAGCAGCTCTCGTGGTCTTTCCTCCATCTTTCAACAGGACATCTTGACCAGAGCAACATCCCCTTTCCTCATCTTCAAACTGGGCAAGAGAGAGGAGAAGATTTATCACCCCAGACCAAACCCTGCAGTCAAGGTCCAGAAAGCATGGTGGGATTTGGTGCCAAGTCCCATCTGCTCACCACCAAGTGATAAAATCTGGTTTCATGCATGCATTGCCACTACACCCACAGCTCATCCTCCTCACAGCAGCTCTGCTTCCCTGCCCAAGCTGGAATTTATTTGTGGAGAGAGTTCTTTGGGAACTTTCACCTGGCATCTCAGTTCTGTGATGGTCCAGTCCCCAGTGAAGCAAGAAAATCACCCAAGAGGTGGATGGAGGGGCCATGGGTCCCCTTCAGCTCAGGCACACACTGACCTGGCCACGGCTCCCACTGCCCTAACTGGGTATTTTTCTTGAGCTGGAAGAAATTATGAAATGCCAATGTTTTCGTTGTGACTAACCATGGAAGTGAACAATTTTGCCCTTGTTTTTGGACCGGGTTTAGTTGCTCTTCTTGCCTTTGCCTTCTGCACCCTCTTTTATCCTCCTCTTTTTCTACTCCCTGTGGGACCTGTCCGTGGCATTGCTCCAAATATCCTCCTCCCTCCAAGCTCCCAAATTGGATTGTGTCCCCCCAGGCCATATTTCAGTGCTCCCTTTGGATGCTCCTTCCCAAACATGAGCCAGATTCAAGGGCTGGTCTCCTTTGTTGCACTGGGGGAGAGGTAAGATGTGGGGAAAGGCGACATCCCTGTGGGACCCTCGGCACTGTTACCCGGGGCTTGCAGGAGCAAGAAGCAGGGAACACTTCCCCTGACAACTCTTTCCCGTGCACTTCATATCTCTGAGCAGTTTTCAAGGCTTAAAACCACCCCCTGGGTGAACTTTATGCAGGGACACGATTCTTTTCTAGGCTTTTTTGGAAAGGATCAGTGGCTTGGTGGGGCAGATGCCATCAATGTTGCATTTAACGAGCCCAAGAGATATAATTTCTGCTCCCTGTGTTTAGCCTTCCTCAAGAAACCTGCTCTGAGCCAAACTCTGGGAATGCAAGTCTCAGGTATCCCTTGGGATGAGCATCAGTGCTGACATCTCCTCCCATCTGGGAGGCAGCGCTCGATCTGATGCCGGGAGTGCTGCAGTGAGTTTCTCTCTGGAAGGGCTCATCTCCCACCCATCCCGCCTTCCCAACCTGCTCCTGGCAGGTTTCACCTCAGCCAGGCCAAGGTGCTCCCACTGGGAGCTGCCAGTCCTTCCTTCAGCAGCGCTCGGCCCCCACCAAACCCTCTGGTGCGCTCCCGGCAAACACACATTTACCCTCAGGCGAAAGCCGATATGGCCACGTATTCCAGGGGGAATCCCAGCAGCGCTGGAATTAGCTCGGCAGATTCCGGCTTTTCCAAGCGCGGCCTTGGCACGTCGCATGAGGTCGAGAGATGTTTTATGTCTCCGGTCGCCCCCGTGACCGCAGGCGCTCTGGGAAGGGGAGGCATTTCCATGCTCTCTCCTGCCAGTGCAGATGGATGTTGGCAAACTCTTCCGGAGCTGAAACTTGGGGGCGGATCGGCACCGACTGCCCCAGCCCAGGCTCAGCTCCACGTTGCTCAGTGCAACAGTTACCCTGAAATAAATTCCCAAATGGATCAACGAGGAGTGCCCACCACCCACTCAGCTCCATCATTTCCACCTTCTGCCCATTCTGTGTAGAGGTTCATATGCACACCAAAAATACACCTTTTAACCTGAAGTTCCACTTTCATTGCTGGTGCCTCTGGTCCAGATTACACAGCCTGCACCTCTCCTATGTGTTCCCCCTTGATCCCTGCAGAGCAGGAGAAAGACAAACTGGAAGACCCAAGCCCTCCGCTGCACACTCATGGATCACACAGGATGATGCTGGCTTTTTAGGAAAAACTGGCTGAAATTTTGCTGGTATAAATCACTGCAAATCTGCCCACCTCGACCTGGTTTATAGCAAGAAAATCAAGGAGGAAAAGGCACAGATGAGACAAGGGATAACCATCCCACGGGTGGGATGCTGTGCCCTGTGCCACGGGTGCCCAGCCTGGAATGCATCCCAGTCCCAAGCCAATGCCCGTAAATAAGAGTAATAAATCAAGGATTTCTTCAGGAGCAACTAATTACCCAACTCAACATGGGCTTTGACACAGGATGGTCTTTGTCCACCAAACCCTGTCCAGAGCTAAAGCAAACAGCCAGCAGGCTGTGGGTTGGAGCTCTGCTCCTGCCCCTCCTTCGTGGTGTAAATGTCCCCATTGAGGTGCTGCCCTGGCTTGGACCTGGCCACATTCCCATCACACCCCTTCCCATCCTGAGACCGCTTTTGCATCATTGATCTGAGGTTGTGCAACAGCTCAGGCCCTGCCACAAGCCCACATTTGACAGCAAAATGTTCCCAGCAAATAGTGGTGTCATTCCAGCACATGGCACCACGATGCTGCCCTGCAAGTGTCCCCGAGCAGCTAATGCTCCAGGGAAAGGTTGGGATGTGCATAACTCATTGAGGGCTTGAAAATAATGGCCTTCTCCATTTTGCAGAGAGTTTTTAAATGAGCCAGGATTCTTATCTTAATTTCCCCAGCTCAGCAATGTAATTAAAAAGGGATTTGTTACTGAGACACTTCTGGTGCTCTCACAGTATCACCTGTCTCTGCTTTTCCAAGCTGTGGTGGGGAGGAAAGACTGCAAATGTGGACATGGCATCCAGGAGGCAAATCCCAGTGGGACTCTGCAGTCCAGAATATCCCAGTGACCAGCAAAACTCTCCCCAAGGAACATGGGACTGGGGCTGTACGTATGAGGCAGCAATGCAGGTGACAGTCCCTGGGCACTCGGGTAGCAGATGTGCCCTGCAAAAGCACTAGGAAAAGCCCTTTTCCTTGACAGATGGAATCATGGAGCAGGGGACACTCCCTTTTATACACCAGGGCATCAGTTGTGTTGTGCTTGTGCCAGCAGACATTTGGGGGCTCACTCTGTGGCCAGACCTCACGACCAGCACAGCCACATCCACTTGCTCTCCCCTCACTCCCGGCTCTTTCTCCACTCCAGAAAAAGCCTTCCTGACCTCCACAGCTAAAAATCAGTCTTTCCCTCACTCCTGGCTCTCCTGGTGTCCCCACTCTGCGCTGCCTTTTGTATCTGTTCCATAAATGAGTACGTGAGAGGAGCACTGCTGAGCCATGGTTGAAGCTTTAGCTCCTAAGCAAAGCCTTCCAGAGGGGGAAAAGGTCCGCTCACTCCTTTTCTCGCAGCCACAGCCTGTAAATCCTCATCTGCACAATGAAAACAAACTCCAGTAGTTAATTTTTTTGGCTCTTTTCCAAAGCTTTTAGGCAACTGGAGTGTGATTTTGTGCTGATGAAGCGGTGGAGGAGGGCTTAAGTGAAACAATATTGTGGTGGCTGCACGGTTTGCTCCTGGTTCGGAGCTCAGAGCGAGCCCCAGGGACCCGCCACATCTCCAAGTTCTCCTGCAAACCATGGAAATCGCCAGTCCGGCTCCTGGGACAGCAAAACAGGATTTCAAAAACAACATTAGCCACCCCTGGAGCATGGCTGGAGAAGCGCCGGGAGCCAAGTGCTTAATGAAATCCCAGCTCCCAGCTCTCCCTCCTAAACCGCGCAAACTTCCCCAAAGTGTTTGGGATGGAACAAAGTCATCAATCAGTTATTTTAACTCGCAGCTCCGTAAACAGAAGCAAGCCCAGGAACATGCAGCAGGGGAAAATAACCGTCAGCTCCCTTCGGTGGAGCGGAGAGGGCACAGGGAGGGAGGACGAGGGCAGCCGGCCGGGAACTGAGCACGGCCTTGGGTCCCAAAGCACATTTCGTGGGCTCCACGGAGCATTTCACAGACCCCACAGCCTGTAAATTGAATGTGCAGCGCTGAGAGCAGCCCCACCATCCCTGCCACCCTCCTGGCACAGTGTAGTCAGTTTTTGATGATGGTCGCTTGGACGATGCTCTATCAGAAAGGGTGGGAGGCACAAAGAGCCAGGATAAGAATCACTAACCATTTTTCCCCTAGATTTATTAGATGAACACAAGAAAAGTTATGGATACAACCACAAAGGAGCGTGGGGAGGGAGATGCTGCTGCACCATCTGCTGTCACGCTCCTCTGACACTGCCCCAGCCTCAGCACTGGTTGAGGAGGGGGGAGTCATTAAGCATGGCAGTGTTCACATAAATACATTATAGATTTGTAAATACACATTAGTGATGAAAACATGGAAAAAACCCAGGAGATCTGGGTAGGCTCCCAGGGTTAATCCAGGAGGGGAATGAGTCCAAGAGGCTGTGGCTCTGCTGCTTTCCGAGGGGAAGCACCAGCCTTAGGCAGCTGAACTCACTGATGATGAGAAGAAAGACAGGAGCTGTTTGGTCTGGGATTCATCCTTCCCACCAGCCACGGGTGCTACAGCCCTGCAGAGTGCCCGCTGTGGGCATGGGGCAGCACCTGCCTGCCCCCTCCACCCCATGGATCAGGGCATCATTCACCCTCAGGCAGATGGAAAGCAGCTGAGCACCTCCCGGAGCTGCAGTGCTGCCAGTGGTGCTCAGCACCAGGAACATTTGGGGATCTTCTCATGCTGCTCCATCCGACATCAACCAAACGTCGGAGCTGCAGAGAGGGATGGCCAAGCCAAGAGAGATTGTGCAAACAGACTTTTCTAGAGACTTGGGTTTTGCATGAATTCACGTGTCCCAGATCTGCTCCTGAAGACACACACGTGTCTCCGGAGCTTGTCTTGAAGGAGACGCGCTGGAGAGGAGACACCCATGCTCAGGGAGCTGTAAAATCCCCTGCAGAAATGCCTGCACCTGCTTCCATAACATAAGGAATAATATTTCATTACTTTTGCAGAACAGCATGTATCCTCACCCAGCAGTGATGGAAATTAATGGAAATTAATGCCAGGATATGGGAAAGTAGCTGGTGGGACCAGAGATGCCTTCCCAAGGCATTGGTGTTGTGTTAGGGGTGGGTCAGCCATGGTGGGAGGTAGGTGCCACCCAGGAAAGATGAATTCCTTGCTCTCCACCTCAGCACTTTTCCCACATCTTGTCCTCGTCACGGTGGGAAACGCAGCTGAGCTCCGTGTTTATCTGGGAGATCTGGAGCTCCCAGTTCACTGTGTGCTCCTTGCCCACCGCATAAACATTCTGCCATTTTTTGGCACATCTCAGGTGTTTTTTCCTTTTCCCTCGTAAACATAAACAGGAGCGGGTGTAGGTCACCACCGATTATTTTATGTGACATCTTGATCCGTGTTCCTCCTCCACCACTCCCTCTGGCAGCGGGGCCGGCAAGGATTACTAGGAGGCAGCTCAGGACACCACTGGCACATCCCACATGCCACTGGCTGCCCCAACACCCATCCCCATCCTTGGGGGATGGCTCCTGACACATAAAGCTTTCACACCACACTCCTGCAGCAACTGGCAGCACAGTCCCATGGTGCTGGGGCTGCGTGCATGGGTGGCAGCCACTTGCACCAGGCCACATGCCTTGTCAACACCTAGAAGCCCCGAATCCACAGATCAGCCACCACAAGTCGAGGGGGAAAAAACATAGCTGCAGAAAGAGGAAAGACGTGAGGGGTCGAAGCCAGCCTGGGGCAAGCAGGCAGCTCTGGTTAGGGGTCATGGCTGGATCTTCCCATGGCTCGAGGGAGATGCAGTCACATTTATTTATTTGTAAGGATGGTCCTGCCTCTGCAGCTCTGTGCTACTGCTGGTGTCCAAACCAATCCCTCTGGCTTTGTCCCACATCCTCACATCCCCACAGCAACCTCATTTGACCCCTGCCAGAGCCAGTGCAGGGGCAGAGGTGAGTGGGCAGAGCAGGGAATGGTGCCCAGCTGAGCCGTACCCCAATGCCTATGAAAGGGGGGAACAACATGGGCAACGCTGGGGTGGGGGGCACCGCGTTTGTCCCAGACCACACAAAGCCAAAAAAGCATCCCCAAAACCTCATTGCCTGTTTGCTGTACCTCCACCTTGGACGCTCGGCAGCATCTATTTCAGATCCAGACCCCAGGTGAACCCCTGACAGCGACTGTGCTGTGCCAGGACGCGGTGCCCACACCGGGACGTGGTAGCCACTCCGTGCCCTGCCCCGCCACGCCGTGGTACCGCTGCTGCTTCGCCGCAGGTTTTTGTTTACCATCACCTTATTAAGGGATTATTCAGGCTGCGGTTTCCTCGCGCGTCCGATCTGTTTGTGCTGGCGGCCCGTGGCTCGCTGCCATCCCCTAAGCTACACGCCGGGCTATATAAGCGACCCCGCCGCCTGGGCGGCAGGGAGGCTCGCACACAGCCCGGCTCGGCACGGCGCAGGGGACTTTCGGTAAGCTGCAACTTTCTCCTCCTTCCCAACCGCCTGCAAATCCCTGAACCCGCAGCTGACAAGCCCTCGCCTCGCCCCCGGATCTCGGCTCGACTGGCGGCTCGGTGGCGACAGGACGGGACTCTCCTTAATTGGGGTTTCTATGATTTTTTAGGTAAGAGAAAAAACGCAACCCGACCCTGCTAAGTTTTTCCCCTCCGTGGCAGACAGTGGTTATATAATTCTGCTGTGTTATTAAAGCGCCGTAATTAACAGTGGCTGTGATTTGAAGGCGAGGTGGAAATTAATTAATGGGTAGATGAAAGCAGGGAGGCTGAAAAACATTGATGGGGATGCGGTTTCCTGCTTTCCGCTTCTCCCTTCCCCATCCCAGCTAATGCGTTTGGGGCAGGGTTACGGGGACAGCGGGAGCGGGGGACGGTGCTTTGCTCACAACAGGGCTTTTGATCTCCCGCGGCTCTGTCCCCCACCGGCTCCCTCAGCTCCGTGTCAGAGGGGGGACACAGGCAGTTCCAAACCTTCCCTGCCGCCAAAATCCAGCTGCTTGAACCCCCCCTTTCCCACCATCGCGTGTCCCGGGGACAAGAGGGACGAATCCCATCCCAAACCCAGCACTGAACGAGTCGCAGTCAGCTTCAAAAATAGGCGCCGAGTGGGAAACAGGATTAATTTTTCCTGGTTATTGTCTGGCTACGAGTTCACGGCCCCACCGTAAGCCCACAAGACACCGCTCATGTGTTGCTTGTTATTTTTGCTTGACTGAGATTTGCTGAGCCATAATCAAAGTATTTCCTAGTCCCACATTCCCCAGTCTCAGAGGGGATGGTTAGTACCCTTTACGAATAACAGGCTGTTCATATTGCCGGCTGCCCTTTGCCAAGCACATTTTATAGGGGAAACTGAGGCACTGAAAGGCTGAGGCAACATTTCCTCCACTCTGGTTCGTTAACTTTGGGTGCAGAAAAATAAAGCACCAGCTTGTGTCACTTGGGATAACACCAGCTCCATGGGTACCTTCAGAAATTAAACACCCAAATTCTTTACACCACAGGGCAAAGGGACTCACTGAAAACAAACTCTGTAGTGGCTGAGCTGGGGGAGAGTGACACAAAGCCTTAGTTCCACATCTTTGCCTGCAGGAAAAGGAAAATATTGAGCTACTTGCTCACACTTGCAGAAAAGACCTGGCTTGTGCACGGGGTTTTCCACTTTCAGAGGTGCTTAGGAGCCTTCCCTTTCCCCACGCTCTGGGATGTACTGGGATAAGATGCTATCCTCGCACTACACCCAGTTTGCAGGCAGGGGGTTAGAGTCATGGAGATGTCCCTGCTCCTGCAGGGAACAGAGTGGGGTGTCAGGGGGCCTGCGGTGCCGTGTGGGCCGTGAGGGATCCCTGCAGAAGTATTTAAGCTGTTCCAAGGCACGTTAAGGAGATGTCATTACAAAGCAGTGCTCTGCAGAATAGATTTGGGCTCAGATGTGACAGTGAGAAGCAGAGGGGATGCGAGCACAGATGTGGAGCCCCTGCTGCTTCTCCCTGGGGGAAAAAATGAGGAGCTGCTGGGGTTGGGTGGGTGGGCAGGGGTCATAAGCTGCCTCATGGCATGCTTTGAAGTGGTTCAGCTTGGGAGAAGCTCCCCAAAAGCAGCAGGACCTGGCTGAGCCTCAACACGGCTGGACTTGTCTCTGCAGGACTGGGGAAGGCGTGGGACGGCTGCAGAAACTCCAAAAAGCCCCTGGTCACCTCTGGAGACCACAATGGTCACTGTGAAAGGCTGGATCCTCCTCCTCCTCCTCCTCCTCCTGGGAGCCACATCCGTTCTAGGTGAAGGTTAAATGTTCCTATTGCGGTCCCCATGCTGTCCCTGCCAGCGCAGGCGCGTCTGTGGCACCGCTGAGCCAGCAGACACAGCCTGACATCCATGCAGGGTCCTGCTCTGGGTCAGCGTGGCATTTGCCCGGCCAAACAACTTCCAGACGAGGACTGGCTCCCATCCAGCCCCCAGCTAGTCAGCCAGGCTCAGCCAGCCTCTGGTTGACCAGGGATGAGCTCACCAGCCCACTGGCAACGCTGGGACCATCCCTGCCTGCCATCCCCAAGACCCTGTGGTGTCCAATCCTCACCCACGGGAGCCAGGCACAGGGGAGAACTGGTGCTGGGGCTTTGCTTTAAATAGGACAGTTTAAATTGCACTGGTCCCAGCAAGCACCCCAGGAACCAGCCACAACCACCAGCTCCTTTTTAGGCATGCAGGTGGCCAGCAAGTGCAGAAACCAGCCCGTGTCCCATCGTGACATCCAATCTCATCCACCTCAGGTTCGTTTCTCCCCATGCAGGGAGAGGCAGGATATATTTTATCACTCCAGCTATAAAAAGATGAATTGATCTGAGCTGTTCCAACATAGGAAGTACAAAAAAGTTTTCCTTGGGTGATAAGGGAAACTGAATGTTTTTATCACACCTGAGCTGCAGTGGTGCCTCACTTGACATCTCCTGCACTGCATCCTACGGGAGCTCTAACCAGCCACAACCCAAAGGGAAAGCAGTAATGCTGAGCATAAGGATGCCCAGTCCTTTAAATCTAATTAATAGATTTTATCCTATGCAATAATCTAATTTATTCTTTCATTTATCCACCCTTAGGACAAAGGATTCTGAAACCAGCCCTCAGCAGGGTCCAGATAGGACAAAAAACCTTCAGCCCGTTGGTAATGCTCAGCTTGGAGAGTAAGTTAATTCCCACTTTAGGTGGATTTCCCTTGCTGGGACAATTTTCCCAACAATTTACAACCAAACAATCTCATTTGGGTAGACGAGGACATTTAGGGTTAGAATCATTCTATGATTCTATGATTTAAGCAATGGAATAAATGTTAATCATCCGTGACCTCCTGTAGGGTTTTGGCTATCACTGACACGCTGTTGGCTCCTCTCCTGGAAAAGGGAAGGTCAATGTGTGACCACAGCCCCAGCTCCTGTGGGAGGCATGCAGGGCTGGGAGGGTGAGAAGAGCCCAGGGATGGGCCAGCACATGCTCTGACTTGCCTTTCCCCTGCCCAGTCTGTCCCCACGACCAGGGCAGTCTGTGACACCACTCCTTTAGAATTAAAGCCTGTGGGGCATTAATTACCTGCAGAGCCCACTCTGCTCATTAATTCCTGGGAGATGCCTTAACCACTCAATCTTTACCACCCAGTGCTTGCAATTTAAATTCCAGTGGGTACTGAAAGAGCTGGACATACTGATGCCATATCTGAAGGATTCATGTCCCAGCCTTTTGTCTGGCTCCCAGCAGCTCTCTTAGCCACTGGGAAGAATCAAAGCACCAAAACCCCAGACTCCCAGAGGTCCCCTTCACTTGCTGAAAAGTATTTTTAGGAAAGCTACCAGGAGAACTGTTTTCCCCTCACAGTGGGTGGCACAGGGCAGTGGTGCTGAGGCTGGCTCCATGACTGGCAAACCCTGCCCAGACCACCCCCAATGTCCTCTGCCCGCAGGTACGAGGAGCAGCTCTCGCCGGGGAGACCCGACCTTCACCTACGTCAGACGCAGTAGGTTCCTGCCGGCGGTGCCATGGGGTATCCCTGTCCTTGCTCCCCACATCCCTGCCAGAGCTCTGTGCCTCAGCTTCTCCCTCTTCTTCCACTTTCCACTTTTTCTGCTGTTGAGGTGCCACACAGAGCCGTACAATGCTTTTCCTCCACTGCACTCCCCTCTTCATATCCTATTATTGACAGCCCCGCAGATTAAAGCAGTTGATCCCAAATGAGCTTAGGATCTTGCTGGGACCCAACTTTAACCTGCTGCACGTTAAATTTTTGCTAGGGCAAAGCACAATCAGGCATTTATCCATGGGATGGGATCATGTTCCCAAGCCCACCTCCTCCTGCTTCCCTCAGATCGCTAAATAAGGTCATGGATGTGCTAGTCGGGGTGCTGAACTGGAGATGCTGATGTGCCAACAAAATAAAAAACTTGCCCATCTAAGCCAAGCACTCACTCTAAACCAGACATGCTGCTCCTATAGCTACTCTCATTTAAAGGGTCTTTTACACCCACCTGCTTTGTTTTTGGCCATCACTATAGGAAAAGTCCACCCTGTGCCTGTCTGCCTTTCTAGGAAATAACCCAACCTGCTTTGTTACAGATTGGGTGGAAGAGTAGGTACAGGAGATGACACAGCACACATCTCCAAGAAACCCCATTTTTAGAAACTTTAGTCACAAGCTCATCCTCACAAACATTATTAGAACATTGTCATTTAAAAACAAGCCCAAACCACAGACTTGGAATGGATCTCATCCGTTCAAAGAAGCTTAAATTAATAACATCTAGTAGCCCCGTTAAAGAAATCCCTTTAAAAATCTAACCCCATTTTAAGCTCTCAAATGTGTTTTGCAAACTCTCTCTGTGCTTTACCGATCAGCTGGCCCCTGACGTGCTCAGGCTGCTCAGTAGCATCTTAGGCTTCTGGTTTGCACACAGTAACAGTGGTGCTCACAATAGGACACAGGCTGCCCCTACAGAAAACATATGTTGAAGTTTGGTTAAAGACATTCAACATGGTCATACCACAAATTTTACCCCTTTTTTTTTTTTTTTTCCTATTTAACCACATTTGAAACACAGGCGAGTGTTGCACTTCAGACAGCATCGAAATGACAATGTGTGTTTGATTTCCTCTAAGCCAAAGTTATTCAACGCTAAGCATGAGCTGCCTGCACTTTGCTCCCCTCGAGTTTATCTTAATCATCCTGAATTTGGTAGCCTGCAGGGAATTAAGCCAGAAGCCTTCAGATGCCTTCTTATGCTTTACTTCCCAGCTCCCTGAAATGCTTTGAGTTTGTTTAATCCATGTGGTGCATAATATCCAAATGTACAGTCTGAGCTATGCAGAAGCTGCTAAGAAAGCAACTGCCCATTTTTTTGGGGGCAGCTGTACGTGTAATGTGCGTCTCAGTAACACACCACTGATGTTATTCAAGGTCCACTGGTGCAAGATTCAAAAAGGTTTTTGTCTCCATGGTCGAAATGGAGCGAGTGCTCAGCAAAGTGTGGCCAAACCGGGGTGCAGAAGCGTACCAGATCCTGCCTAGCTGAGCGCTTCTGGGGCGTGCACTGTAATGAAGCAACTGAGGAAGGGCGGCTCTGCATTGGACATGTTTGCTCAGGTGCTCCTATAACCTCACTTACGGGCAGGGGAGGATGTCCTGGTCTCACCAGCACAAAGGCGCTGTGTTCCCCTCGCTGTCGTTTTGCCATCTTTCCCTCCTTTGCCAGAATTCTGGGATTCCCAAGCGAGGCTGGAGAACAGAACACAGGGAGTTTATAGCCAAATAGCAAGATAACAGGGGGATCCAGATATGGGGAATCATCAGGGACTCACAAAGATCTTGGCAATATGGAAAAAAATCCCATTAATCTCATTATAACAGCAACTCTCAGGGTGGAGTCAGCAATTGCAGGCAGATGCCTTCTCCAGGAAGGAGAAGTGGTGGGAATATCAACTGCCACAACCCCTGCTGAAGGGGCTTGTAATCAATTATATTATTCTTATAACCCCCTTTTAACAAATAATTCTGAAAACAGTTGGTGTTTTCTGCGGGAAAGTTATTTCAGGTTTTTCCCTGATTTCCTACATTTATTTCCAGCTTTGAAAGAAATTATCAGGTAGTTGCTGTACAGGGATGGTCTGTGATTATAAAATGAATGACCTGAGCCTTGGGAGGAGACAGATTATTATTTAGGATTAATCACTATAGGTAATGAATATGTTTCAGAATCACTGGGAGACCAATTGTTAAACCCATTGGGTAATGCTCACTTGGCACTTACCCCATGTCCTGCCCAAGCCAGGATACCACTGAATAAGGGGAGACAGCTTTTGGGATAGACCACAGTCACGACTCTTGGGCATGAGCTGGTAACAGAAACCTAGAAAGTTTAAGGCATTTGGATTTGTAATTTTGCCAGAGTTGAGCTAAGAGCTCACAATGCTGAGCTGGATTCAAATTTCTCCAAAATTCAGCCCTTTGGGGAAGGTAAATAACAGTTCCTAGCTGTAATTATATCCACGTGGCTGCTTTCTACTAATTGTCAGGTTCAGAATGACATCGTCCCTGCATTTCTAATGCACAGCTGTGGATAATCAGGAAAAATATGTTTTGGATACAAGTTATTCCTTACGCAGTATCTGCCTTATTGCATCTAAATTAAAAGCAGACGCGAGACCGTGCTGTGAGTGTTGTGGGGCTGTTTTTTGACCTGCCTGCCTCTCCTCCAGGCTGCAACATCACCTGCCCCATGGGCCATGTCAACGCTGACTGTGACTCCTGCATGTGTGAGGATGCCACTCTGCACGGAGAGGTGTCTCTCGAGGATGGGTCGCCCGCTGCCGATGCCCGGGTCTACCTGCAAGCCAAGAAACTCAAGCTGCTGACAATGGCCGATAACAGAGGCATGTTTAGGATCCCAGGGATTTGTCCTGATGGTAAAAACACCCTGAAAATAAAGAAAGCCAAATATGCAACCGCGACCTTCACCGTGCCCGAGAGCACCCGGAGAAACCTGGCGATCCAAGTGCAGCTGCACCGATCAGGTAGCCACAGAGAGGGGGGATGCAGGAGGCTTTATGCAGTAATTAGAAATAAACTGTGATTTTAGGAGGGGAAGAGTAATGAGATGGCCTTGTCCTTGTCCTGCAGGCAAACCCTACGTTTTCAGGAGCCCTGAGGACAAGGCCAGGAGAGCGGGACAGAGCGTGTCGTTCTGCTGCGATGCCCGTGGGAGCCCAGCCCCTGACCGCTACCTCTGGTAAGGAACTCGAGTTTGATCTGCCAGAAGTCTTAGCTGACCCACGGATTCCAGTTTTGTCTCCTTACCTTCTCCATAAGGTATAAACCAGCTGAATATGCTGAGAACTGATTGCTGCAAGTGATGGCTTCCTCGAGGCATGCAGAGCAATGTCATCTGCTGAGGGATCACTGGAAAAGCACACCAAAGAAAAGAGTTTAAAAACCTCAGCAGAAAGACTGGCAGCTCTGCCTGCCTGCCAGCTGCCCAGCAGCCACATCTCAGTACTGCTAGGGAAAGGAGAATAATTTTTAGGTGATGCCACATAAGCCACCTAAAAGCAGGGAAACTGAGGTAGAAGGTCTGGCAAAACCTGCATTGCAGGATGCAGGATTGGGCCATCGCTCTGCTCCAGCCAGGCAGTCAGACTCTGTCCCCTTAACTGTTCCTGGCAGGTACCACAATGGCTCACTGCTGGATCCCTCCTTGTACAAATATAAAAACAACCTGATTCTGAAGAACCTGAAGAGAGAACAGTCAGGAGAGTATTTCTGCAAGGCCAGCAGCGCCGGGGGGTCAGCCAAGTCCCAGGTTGCCAAGCTGGATGTCATAGGTAAGAGAAAATGTGCCTGATGCTCTCTCCAAGCAGCTGGGGAGGCGTCGGTGTGCAGGAACCAGAAACTGTGATACAGCTGGGAAAGAAAAGTCACAGGAAAAATACTTGGGTTTGTTTCATGCATCCACTTGCAGATAAGCTTGTGTGAGCTGGTTATGAACCAGATGCTCCCTACAAACCAGAGCTCTGGATTGCAGGTGACCTGCCAAGCTCAATCTGCTGCTTTCAGCAGGTTCCTCACTGTAGTTGCTGCCTGACATGGGAATATTTCTGTTTGTTTAGGGGTCTTTTAAAACCTTAGGACACATTTTATTCTGGTCATAGTCAAAAAGCCAGGCAGCAGCAGAATATGCAGATGGTTGGAGGGCCATGGTGGGTAAGGAGGAGCTGGGATGCTTCCTGCAAACAGCTCTTAATCAGGAACCTAAAGCTAAAGCTGAGCTACCTGCTTCACTGAAACCAGGCCAGATGAATTCAGCTAACCAGAATCCTGCAAAAACCTCACTTTTATTAGGAGCAACGTTTAGCTCAAAGGGTTTCAGACCATGTAACAATGTCTGTACAACTATTTCACGCTGCTCATTAAGAAATCCTATTCAACAGGAAGAGAAGAGGCAGCCTGCAACCCCAAGCCCCAAAGCCACCTCATCAGACTTCCTCACGACTGCTTCCAAAAAGCAACAGACTCCTTCTACTACGATGTGGGCAAGTGCCCAACAAAGACCTGTGTGGGGAAGCTGGATAAGGGACTCCGGTGTAAGGACAACGTCTCCTACTGCTGTGGGGTGTCCAAAATGGAAACCAGGGACATATCCTGCAACGGGTACACGCTCCCCACTAAAGTCATCGTGGAATGTGGCTGCAAAAAATGCACCGAGACCAAAATAATGGTTCGAGGCAGAGCCACAGCAGCAGATAATGGAGAGCCACTCAGGTTTGGCCACATCTACATGGGGAACAAGAGAGTGAGTATGACTGGCTACAAGGGAACCTTCTCTGTCCACGTCCCAGCAGACATGGAGAGACTGGTTCTAACTTTTGTGGATCGGCTGCAGAAGTTTGTGAACACAACAAAAGTTCTGCCCTTCAAGGAAAATGGAGGTGCTGTGTTCCATGAGATCAAGCTACTGAGAAAGAAACCTCCTGTTACACTGGAATCCACTGAGACCAACGTGATCTCTCTGGGAGAAATGGAAGAAGATGATCCAATTGCTGAATTAGAAATTCCTCCCAACGCATTTTATAGGAAAAACGGAGAGGCCTACAGAGGCAAAGTGAAAGCCAGCGTGACGTTCCTGGACCCAAGGAACATCTCCACAGCCCCCGTGACACAAAGTGACCTGAACTTTGTAGACGAGGAAGGAGATGTGTTTCCACTCCGCACGTACGGCATGTTTTCCGTGGACTTCACTGATGAGCGGGGCACCGAGTCCCTGAACGCAGAAGACGTGAAGGTTCATTTGGATGCCGCTCAGGTCAAGATGCCAGAGCACCTGCAGGAGATGAAGCTTTGGTCCCTGAACCCAGAGACAGGGCTGTGGGAGGAAGAAGGGGACTTCAACATCCAGAGGAGCAGACGGCGCAAAAGGGAGGAGAGAACTTTTTTGGTTGGGAACATGGAGATCAAAGAAAGGCGGCTTTTTAACCTGGATGTCCCGGAGAGCAGACGGTGCTACGTCAAAGTCCGAGCCTACAGAAGTGAGAGGTTCCTGCAAAGTGAGCAGATCCAAGGGGTTGTGATTTCTATTATAAATATGGAGCCAGAACCAGGGTTCTCCTCCAACCCCAGAGCGTGGGGCCGTTTTGACAGTGTGGTCACTGGTCCCAATGGTGCTTGTGTGCCCGCCTTCTGCGATGAGCAAAACCCCGAGGCCTATGGAGCTTATATCTTGGCAAGCATGGGGGGCGAAGAGCTTGAAGCTGTGCCCTCTGCTCCCAAACTCAACCCTGCTGCTATTGGGGTCCCACAGCCGTACCTCAACAAGCTCAACTACAGGAGGACAGACCACGAGGACTCCAACACTAAGAAAACAGCATTCAGCATTAACATGGCCAAGCCAAGCCCCAATTCCCCAGAAGAGAACAACGGCCCTATTTATGCCTACGAGAATATTAGCGAGTGCGAGGAAGCTCCTCACAGCGCTGCGCACTTCAGGTTTTACAGGATAGAGGGAGACCGGTACGACTTCAACACCGTTCCCTTCAGTGAAGACGACCTCATGAGCTGGACCGACGACTACCTGGCATGGTGGCCCAAGCCCATGGAATTCAGGGCCTGCTACATTAAAGTGAAAATAAACGGACCCCAGGAGGTGAACGTGAGATCTCGTAACATGGGTGGGACGCACCCGCGCACCATTGGCCGGCTCTACGGGATCAGGGACGTCCGCAGCATCCGCGACCCACAGCGGCAGGACGTGTCGGCGGCCTGCGTGGAGTTCAAGTGCAGCGGAATGCTCTTCGACCAGGACCGCGTGGACCGCACGCTCGTCAAGGTGGTGCCGCAGGGCAGCTGCCGCCGAGTGAGCGTCAACAGCATGCTCCACGAGTACCTGGTGAACCACCTGCCCATGGCCACCAACAACGACACCAGTGAGTACACCATGCTGGCGCCCCTCGACCCGCTAGGGCACAACTACGGCATCTACACCGTCACCGACCAAGACCCCAGGATCGCCAAGGAAATCGCCCTGGGCAGGTGTTTCGACGGCTCATCTGACGGCACCTCCAGAACCATGAAGAGCGATGTGGGCGTCGGGTTGACTTTCACCTGTTCGGAGAGGAGCGCAGCGGAGCAAAGCATCTTCCAGTCTCAGAGGAACTCGGGCCAGCAGTCCATAGTGATTCAGCCAGGGCAGAGACCCGCGTACCAGAGGCCACCAGCAAGCCGCCGGAACAACCAAGGCAGGATCCCTATGAGAGGTCAACGTCCCGTCTCCTAGAGCTGTAGAGGAGCATTGGTAAAGTCACTCACGCTCAGTTAAATATGATTTGAAAGTAACATCAACCTGCTAATAGCCTAACTGAAAGCTGGTAGGTGTCGTTGTTTGTGAGACGTAATTAAGGTGCCACTTTTGTTTTTTTGTTTGTTTTTTTTTTTCCCCCCCTCACCAGAAAGACATCAGGCAAAAATTGGGGGCCAGCAGCGGTAGTGAGTTCATGTCTTCTTAAATGCATCCACAAAAATCTTCTTTCTGCCTGACATTAAACAGCTTCACATGATAGCCTAAAGGGAAGACTAAACACATGATCCAATTAAGTCACGTACATAAAACATTCTTCTGTTCTGCAGCTGCAGACTTTGCCAGCCCAAGTACCTGTACAGTAGTTGGTAACATGAAAAGGAATAAACTGATTTCCTCATACTGAATTCAACTGCAAGGTTTCGTACTTGAAATGTAAGTATTTTATTTATTACTAGCTTGTTTTAGAATGACTGTATTCAAGCTAAACTATCGGCAGCTGCATTTCTAAGAACTCATATGCTCAATAGGACAGAGAAGCCATGTGGATTTGTAGGCTCCACGTGGATAAAGCTAGAGTTTTCTCTTGCTTCTTGCATTATTTGACAAGAAAAGCCATGCTCTACGATAGGGTAGGTTAATAAAAAAAGTAATTTTGTAACTCTGACAATGCCGTGTCACTTCTGTGTTTGAAATGCCCAAGTAAATAAACCACATGTAGAGCAGAGCAAGGAATAACCTGCAGGATTCCACCTTTCTGTTCACAAACAGGTCACAGCTTTATCAGTGTGTGAGGCTGATCCTGGGTATGGGTGAGGGGTTTGGTGGGTGCCTGGTGCCCCCCCAGGTCCAGGGTTTGGCCATGGCATGCTGCAGTCAGGGAATCTGTGCCCAGCTTGAGACATGGAGAGTCAGCAGCACTGCTGGGAGAAGCAGAGCAGTAGGTCTGGGCAGGGATGAATCAAGGAATGAAACAAGATGGAGGGAAAAGAGGGTTGGGAATCTGTGCTTTAAGGATTATAGGAAACCAGGTAATATAGAGTAGGGCTGGGTGAAGAGACAGGGAGAAGACAGGCTTCCCTCACACTCAGCAGCAGGACACTGCTGGGCAAGAAGCTGTCCTTAGCTGAAGGTACAGCTGGCCACAGCAGGGGTCAGGGAGTGATCCCTCTCCAAATGACCTATTAAATTTCCCTCACTACTTCTAGAGCAACAAGGACCTCACCAGTACAGAAGACATCCTGTGCTTGTTTACTGCCAAACATTGGCAATAAATTTTTGGGGTACAGACAAACCAGCAAGCCTCCAACACCGAAATTCCCACTGAGAGAGATCACAAATAGGTAGGCAGTGCTACTGGGTGTAAACTGGGATTCAAACACGTTTCCCTCTTCTCCCAATCCCCCTCCTATGGATATGAAGGTCTATGCTGTCACACCTACAGCCCATCAAGGGCATGGGGAATCTTTCAGTAGCATTTAGCAAGCTTCAGAACAGGTTCACAGGTCTGACACAGGGCAGCCTGAAGTATGCTTAAACAGGTAAAAAAAAAAAAAATCCCTAACAATCCAGGTTTTTAGGCAAATTGACAGTTATCAAAGAGAAGCAGAAAAGGAAGAGCTGTGGGATACTCTGGCACATCCTCTTCATACCAGTCAATTTAGACTCTGTGTGTTTTCTTTTGTGTCTAGTCTGCTGCAAGGGCTTGGCTCGAGCCGGAGCCAAGGCAGCCAGTGGGGAGCATTAGCTTGGACCTTCCCACAGAGCTCTTGGCTTGCACAGAGAAATGTCTCTTCCCTCTGCTCCCCTCCTCCTCTGCAGACAGACAGCCAAAACCCAAACTTAGTTTCATCACTTTGAGGGTGAAGTAACACAAAATGACTTCTACAGACCAACCCAGGAGATAAATGGATGAAAGCAGGCTGGGGAGATGATCCCTGTGCCGCATGTGGGCTCGCCAGTCAAACACAGCAGAGTGCAGGGCTCTTCCTCCTGGGGAGAGATGCCTATTCAACAGCACTGAAACAGTCACAGCCCTGGAACAGCCAGGAGCTCTCCAAATTTCCCCAGACTGTCCCCCTCTGCAGCTTAGCACTGACTTGGAGGAACAAACTAATCTATGCACTCACTGAGTCCCTGAGCTCTCCGAGGCTCCTGGCAGAGTGTGCTGGACACAGAGCAAGACAGAGGTTTCAAACACGAGTGCTCAAGCACTACCAACAGAAAACAACCTTGGTCCCACAAGCACCACTCAGTGCTAACACTTCACCATCATTCCAAATACATTAAGCAAGTTTATACAGGAGGAAAGCTGCACCAAGTCCCAGAGTCCCCCACTCACACAGGTTTTATGCTGCAGTTCAATGTCAGTTCTGACTTCTCCAGCCTGTGTTTATGGTCAGTGTACAGCAATGTCCTTTCTGCAACCTGAAACCTAACCCACACTCCCACATATCAAAGGAGAGGATCAGCTGGAGGAATGCAGGGAGGCTGGGACTCAGCTCCTCCCTCGGCCTTAGCCTTTGGACCACCAACCTTGAGGAACAGGGGTAAGCAGGAGACCTGGCTCCTAAACGGCAGCAGGTTTGTGGCTGATGGCAAAGCATCTTCCATTAAGGTCACTTAGTTTCCAACCCCTCAGATAAATCCTGTGACCTATCCCTCCCTCCTGTTTCTAAAAAAGGGAAACCAGTGCTTCCCAGAAGCTATCAGGATGTCAGCAGTTAGGATAAACAAAAGGCGAGATGTTCTTGTCTAGCCTCAACTTTCAAAATTATTTGGGGATCTTGCATGTAACTTTACAAAAAGACTCGAGCATTCCTCTGATTAGTCACTTACATTTTTGTTTGTAATTCATTCAGAGAACAGGAATAAAAAGGTTTCCTAGGAAGCAGAGTGGGAAGGTTATGGAACACGAAACAGATGCATCTAACTGTGAGTCACCAGCATCCTAGGAAATATCACTCCCTCTAACACTTGTTTGAAATCCATGATGAAATCAACCCTATCCAACACCAGGACCCTTCTGGTGCCCAAACATTTTGCAGTTCTGCCAGTAATTTGGCCTCAGTGATGTTAAACTGAGCCATGGTAGATGCTGGGTCTGTGAATACCTCTGCTACTTTCCCTCTGTCCCCTGAGAGGAGAACAGCTGTTTTATTTTGCTAGGATCCCCTTCCACTGGCCAGGGTGCCTGTACTCGACCTCAGCAGCGGCACTGGGGATTGAATCACCGTGTCTTGTGTTCCAGAGTCAACCCTGACATGTTATTCCACACCTCATCAGTGAAAGCCCCATTTTTGTGTTGTCTGTTCTGCAAAAATAATCAGATTTTCATTACCTACTGAGTCAAATCCCAGCAGAGCCAGGTGAAAGCAAAGTTTCCAAAGAGACATTTTGGCTAACAGCTGCCTGGGGAACACCAATTCCCTTTAAAGCTTTCCCCACTGCACCAAAAATAGCACACCAAAGATTTCCTCCATAAAAAATTAAATTAATCTTACCTTCTTTTGCACAACTGGGGTGAAGTTGCACATATTCAGAGCTAAGATATAAAGTGTTAAGCGACACAGAACTGTCCAATCTTTTATAGCTTCTTGTGTAGAAAGCAAGAGAAGCCTTGAAGCAAACTGCAGAGATCAAAAGATTAAGTTACAAGTACAGGTACCCTGGCTGCAATGTGGTTTAGACATTACTTGCTATTAAACAACTCACTGAAGACATTCTGTACCAGATTTTCACCATCTTCTGTCCAGCTGACCTGGGATTTTGCCCAAAAGAGAGGCAGCGAGCTCCATCTACAGGGATCCTGGGTACATGCCACCTCGAGCTTCCCAAAAACGCAGGGAAACTCCTCCCTGTTGCTCCGAGCTTTAGTGAGAACTGGAATTGCTGCCTGCCAGCAAGGACTGACAGCAATAGGTCTCACACGAGGCTCCATCGAAAACTGACAACAAAATATACACACAGAGATCAAAGAACTTTTAAAGAATTTTCCTCAAGTCATTCACAGGAACAAAGTGGTTGATTTAAAGAGTTTGGTTATTTAAAAGCTTTTAATCTTGACTTTTGTGGCTGAACTTCAGACACTGTATTCTTTCTGTGGGAGTTACACCTCACTGTTCATTTTGCTCAGGTCACAAATCAATCACAATTCATTCTCCAGTGCCTGGGGACCTGGGACATTAGAAAAGTTAGGTCCTAAAATACTGAAATTGTTGAGTCCCAGTTAACTGAAATACTTCTCATAAAATTCTTTATCATTAGTGTTTAAAATTATCTCTAAACTGTGGTGGTGGGTTTTTGGGTGGGATTTTATTTTGGTAGACTCATTTCTCTGCTCATTCAGCTTCTGACACAATCCATGTCTGAGGCCAAAGCCCCATCATGCAGCTGATTAGTGTCAAAAACCTGTCTGTGGGGAAAGGGCTTTAGAAAAAAACATTCTTATCCTCAGCAAACATTGAATATTTGAATTCCAGTGATGGCTTTGAATGTTCTTTAAAAACAACTGATGAAAAATTCCCAGAAGCTCCAGCAGGGAAAACACAAGGCAAGCAGCCACGCAGTTATGACCAGTGATGTAGTAAACCACAGAAAACTCCCAAACCATCGCTTTCCCCAAAACCACAAAAAACTCACCCACCCACCTTTCTATTGGCATAAGGCAGTAAAAAACCTGTCAGACAGATCTAAACAGAGTAAAAGCAAAATGACTCCACAACCTTCACTTGCAAGGAGTGGGCAGGAGCAAAACACAAAAATACATCATTTGCTCGGAAATTAACTTGCCAGATTTGGATCTTCTGCGGCACAAACTGCACCGAGTCTGCAGCCAGAGCTAACAGGAGTTCTCCACAGGAGCCTGACTTCCACCTTGCTGCTGTTTCCAGTTTGTGACTCTGATTCATAGGCTTGGATTTCTTGGAGGACCGTGTGTTTTGGAAAACCTGTCAGAGGCAGATTAATGTCGGACCAATGGCAATTAGAGAAAAATACAGCAGCATCTGCTTTAACAGATGCTTCTTGAGAAACATTTTAATCCTTGTGATGTAACACATTCTTCTAGATTTTTTTGCTTTTACTTCAGTAGAACTCGGAAAAAAACAGGAAAAAGTTGAGCAAATAACATCAGAGCAGCTCCTAAGATGTGGCCAGTCTTCATTTTGCTGTTATCCTCGCAGTGCTACCTTAATTCTAAGACAAGAAACTTCAAAAGAGCCACCAATTTTGGGGTTCTTCACATGAAATACTCTTATACATGTCATTAACCAAAGGCTGAGGGAAAGCCTGGATTAGATTAATTCCTCATCATGGAGAAAGTATCACAGTAGAACCTAAACTTTCTGGATGGATGGCACACAAATATTAAATGGGGTATACCCTAAGATATATGAAAACAGAAAGGAGAAGGAAGAAAATAATCATGGACAGGAAAAGATTCTCTAGACCTTCACAGCTAAGCTATTCATCTCAATGTGGGGATACAAAGGGAGTTTCAGGGTCCACAAGAAAATCAAACTAGACAGTCTAAGTCTCAGTGAGCACTAAACTCTGAATTAGAGAAGCATCGGGCTTTAATATTTGCAGATCAAAGTAACCATGCAAAACTTATCCCTGAGGAAGATTATACCAAAAGTCCCCAAACAGAAATTGCAAATGTTGTATAAA